GCGCTTGTTGGAAGATATGCTGCTGGGTCGCGGGCACTTCGGCTGGGCCCCGGCGGCGGCAAAGGAGCGCTCCCAACAGCCACGCCAGCGCAGCCGCACCCCCACCAGCAGGCACCGCGGCAAGGGTTGCCACGGGCGGGAGGTCGCCATCCGCGCCACCCCCCCCTCTTTGCCACTGCGTCGTGCTCCCTCACCACCGGCTCCTCCATCTGCGCAGCGGAGCCACGACGACGTCGACCCCGTTGCCGCATTCTTCACCAACGGAGACACCCAGCTCCCTCCCCCACCACGCGTCAACCTCGCGCAGGCTGAACTCGAGGAGGTCATCGCGGACGCCCTCGCCGTCCCGCTGGAGTTCGACATTAACCATGCAGGCGACAGCGGTGCAAAGGCGTTGACCACCGGTGGACCCGTTGCATGCATGCCATCTGATGTGGTCCACGCGTACAAGACAGCGGCTCCCCCGGCCGCAACCACGACTGAGCTCGGGGCGGTGACACACCAGGTGCAGCAGATGCAGATCGGGCAAGACGCCGCCGCCGCCCGGCTCCTCTTCCGCGACGCCCCGGAAACCCTCGTAGCCATTGCGCCACCAGCCCGCAGGCCATCAACGCTGCCCAAGACACGCGCTCCATCGGCCCCCGTCAGGCACAGCGCCTGCCAGGCGGCCAACCACTCCTCCACCCCGATCGTGCAGCGGGCCACCCTGCGCCTGGTCAATGAGCTCGGCGTGCTCGGTCCAAGAGAGCGAATGACGATGAAGGCGGTGGAGGCGCTGCTGCGGCGCTTCGACGAGCCGCTTTCGGAGGGCGACAACGACTACATTGCCAAGCTCACGCGCCTCGACGTCCAGGCGCTGCGCACCATGGCCAGCATGGCCGGCCCGGACGGCGCAGCCCAAGAGTAGTCCATGTTAGACGCTAGTTTAGTTAGCCTCCAGTGGCAACTGGCCCTTAGTCAGTCTGAGTTAGGTTTTTACTTCATGATTAGTGTTGGGCTATAAGGATTAGCTAGATGCGAGTGTAATTTGGGGCCTATTGGTGGACACTGGCTCTCCCCGATCGATAGGTGGCGTGCTTGTACTTGGTTCATCTCTGCAGTAGTAACATTTTCGTCGTCGGAGCATGCTTTGTTTGCCTCATGAGTAACACAACCATCCCAATAATGAATTGGAACGTCTGTGGACTGAACTCTCCGGCGAAGAGGGCCACCATTTGCAAGGAAGCCGACGCCCACGGCCTCGCTCGGCTATGCTTGCAAGAGACGAAGATCGACGCCTGGTCGCCGGAGATGGTCAGGGAGGTAGGACGCCGCAGACTCGACAACTGCGCTGTGCTGCCAGTGTTGGGCACCCGAGGCAGCGCCGCGATCTTCTGGGACTCCACCAAGATCACAATCGCCACGCAATCAGTTGGGCAATTCTCCATCACTGCCAGAGCGTTCCTCCCCCACGGTGGCCTCTCCTTCTGGATCACCACTATCTACGGCCCAACTAATGACACCATAAAGGACGAATTCCTCGAGGAGTTGAGCAGAAGTAGGCCACCCCTTGGCGAGCCGTGGCTGATCAACGGTGACTTCAACATCATCTACGAGGCAAGGGATAAGAGCAACCATAACATCAATAGAAGGATGATGAGCAAATTCAGAGATGCAATCGACCGGGCTTACTTGAGAGAGATAAAGTGCAAAAACAGGCGCTTCACATGGAGTAATGAGAGGGAAAACCCTACTTTCATTGCCATCGACAAAGTTTTCTGCAACCAAGAATGGGAGGCAATCTTCACCTCCTACACACTTATGGCCACATCCACTTCCTGCTCTGATCACTGCCCCCTGTTGCTCACGGATGCCACGATGCCACCGTGTAAAGCAGTCTTCAAATTTGAATCCTTCTGGCAAAAATTCCCGCACTTTCAGCAAACAGTCCAGAGGGCATGGCAAAGGACAGTAAACCACTGCTGCTCTTTCACCAGGATGAAGATCAAGCTAAAACGAACAGCAGCAGATCTAAAGATCTGGGCCAAGAGCATCTTCAGCAACACAAAAATGCAGTTTCACATTGCGTATGAGGTGGTGCTGAGATTAGATGTGGCGCAGGAGAGGCGCCAACTAACACAAAGAGAGTTCTGGCTGAGGAAAACCCTGAAGCTGAAGATAGTTGAACTCGCGGCTCTTGAATGAGTGAGGAAGAGGCAAGCTGCACGGACTACCTGGCTCAAGGCGGGTGATGCAAAGACAGCATTCTTCCAGGCCAAGATCAACTCCTGAAGAAGGAAGAACTACATACACTGCCTATAGTCAGAGAGCAAACAAGCCACGGATCACAAAGAGAAGGCAGAAATGATCCACGACCACTTCACCACCCTAATGGGCAGCAAGGAAAGAAGGACCAAGACGATCAGCAGGGAAAGGATTCAGCTGCCTCGTCTGCAAACTGGGGAAGGCCTCGACAACCCCTTCATAGAAGAAGAGGTCTGGGCGGCAATCTGCGCGTCTCCGGCCGAGAAGGCACCAGGGCCAGACGGCTTCAGCGGGGCCTTCTTTCGAGCATGCCGGCACACGATCAAGGCGGACGTCATGGCAGTCTTCCATGCATTCTATCAGCTCGCCGGAGGTGACTTTGCGGCTCTGAACTGTGCCATGATCATCCTTCTGCCAAAGAAAGATGGCACAACAAAACTGTCGGATTTCCGCCCAATCAGTCTAATCCACTCGGTGGCCAAGCTAATCGCCAAAGTGCTCTCAATCAGGCTAGCGGGTGTGCTTGATCAGCTTATCTCGCCGGCCCAGAGCGCTTTCCAAAAGAAGAAGGGTATTCATGATAGCGTCCTCTATGTCTAGAGCGTGCTGCGGCAGTTTCAAAGGAAGAAATAACCGATGCTCCTGCTAAAGACCGACATCGCTAAGGCATTCGACACGGTATCATGGGAATGCATACTCAAGCTGCTGCAACGCATGAACTTCCCGGCGCACTGGCGGGACTGGATCACACTGCTCCTCTCACCGCGTCCTTCACCTGCCTGCTCAACGGAGACCCGGGCTCTGCGATCCTCCATCAGCGGGGACTGCGGCAGGGGGACCCACTCTCGCTGATCCTCTTCATCCTGGCGATTGATCCCCTCCACCAACTGTTGGAGGCGGCGCAGCAGGACGGCGCCATCGCGCCCCTGCCGACCGGCGTCGCGCGCCTGCGCGTCACATTATACGCGGACGACGCGATCTTCTTTGCAAATCTAGTGCGCCAGGAGATCGACGCCATCATGCAGCTCCTGGCAGGGTTCGGGGAGGCGATGGGACTGCGCGGCAACCCTCAAAAATCGTCGGCGGCAGCCCTAAACTGCGGCAACGTAGACCTCATAGACGTCCTTCAGAACTTCGGCGGCGCTAGAGTATGCTTCCCGATCAGGTATCTAGGTCTTCCGCTCTGCATCTGCAGGCTACGGCTCGTGCACATTCAGTACCTCCTTGATCGCATCCGCGCAAGGTTGGCGGCTTCGAAAGGCCGGCTCCTGCCGATCGCAGGGCGCCGTGTGCTGGTCAGGTGCGTCCTCTCTGCGATACCAGCCTTCGCCATGGCTGTCCTGCAAATCCCAAAGAAATTCTACAAGGACGTCGACAAAGCGTGACGTCGGTTCTTGTGGCACAAGACGAAGAAGTCACCGGCGGTAGATGCAAAGTAAACTGGTGGCTCGTCACGTCCCCGGTCGAGCATGGCGGCCTCGTCATCCCCAACATGGAGCGATTCGCGCGTGCCTTACGCCTCCGCTGGCTCTGGCTGGCGTGGACGGATCCGGCAAGGCCATGGGCACGCCTGGAGCTGCCTTGCGACAAGGATCGAGCACTCTTCGCCTCGGCAACGACGATGACAGTGGGTGGCGGCAACAGAGCCCTCTTCTGGCACTGCTCCTGGCTCGGCGAGCAACCACTACGGCCAGACTACCCCGACCTTTTCCGACGCTCAACCAGGAAGAATCGCATGATGGCGGAGGCGACACGCGATGGCAGATGGATCATGGACCTTAGGCGCGGCAACAACCTGGATATCATCCCCCAGGTCGTGCTGCTGCAGCGTCGCATCAGAGCAGCCAGCTTGGTGTTGCAGCAAGGGGTCGAGGACAAGATCACCTGGAGAGCCGGTGGGCACTACACGGCGAGGTCAGCATACACCTCTCAACTCCCTTCGCGACCAACCTCGGCCATGAAAAGCTTGGTGTGGAAGATCTGGGCACCTGGAAAGATCAAGTTCTATCTCTGGCTACTTCACCACAACCGGCTGTGCTGCAACGATCGCCTGCAACGTAGAGGTTGGGGGAATCCCTATTTCTGCCAGCTTTGTTGCCGCAACCTCGAGTCCTCCTTCCACCTGCTTTGGGAGTGCAACACATCGAGGGAAGTTTGGGTAAAGGCGGCCACCTCGGAGGGCTGTGCGACACTCTCCCCGGCCTCCTGGGGTGCAAGCACCACAACAACCGAAACTGTCGTCGCAATTCTCAACTCCGCGGCGCCAAGGGAAAGAAGAGGTGCCAAGACCATGGTGGCTTTGATCGCCTGGAAAAATCTGGCTTGAAAGAAACAGATGCACATTCAGAGGAAAGACGCCAAGTGCACTCAGTGTAATAGAGGCCTGCCGGAGAGACATTGAGCAATGGAGACTCGCCGGAGCACATGCCATAGCGCCCCCTTTCGGGGATATAACGTGAGGAATAGACCTAGGTTTTTTGCTATAACAGCGGAGGGAGAGAGGGCCCATGCTGCTCCCTCCTACTACGCCTCTGTAATTCGTTTTCCCTTCATTGATCATTTGATCACAAATTTTGTAACTCTCTCTCCTGCTAAGCCAATGAAAAGCCAGTAAGTCTGGATCTTTCGAAAAAGGATCCGTCACCTTTTTTTTCGAATAACGGATTTGCCACATGTTACCTCAATGATCCGAAAGTACAAGTAAAAACTTGCATTACATTTTGGAAATGCATAATTCCTGATGATTCCTCCTTCTCATGACAGCATCATCACCACCACATGACACAAAGCAATTAGGAACGCAAAGAGAAAAAGAAAAAGGAAACCCAAAGAAAAAGGTTATTTTGTCAACAGAAGGGGAGGAGAAGAAAAGCTCCACCCGTCGTGCGCCGGGGTGCCCGCGTGCCTGCCTGCCTTCTTCAGCCCCCCACCCCCCCTCTTCTCTCCAACGGCGACGAGCGAATCGCGTGAATGAGATGAGATGGGACTGGGAGACGCCGGCGACGGAAGCGGAGGCGGAGGCGTTGCAGGAGCGCATCTGGGACCTCCACGACAAGCTCAGCCACGCCATCCTCGCCCTCTCCGCCTGCGCCGGCCTTCCGGCCTGCCGCTGCCGGGGCGCCCCCAACGGCCACGTAATCCTCAAGGGGCAGCGGCCGCCGCAGGGGGGAGGGCACGTCGACCTTGCCGCGGCGGCGGCGGCCATGGCGGACGCGCGGGGCCTGCACGCCATCCGCACCGCGCTCGAGGACCTTGAGGGCCACCTCCACTTCCTTCGCGTGAGTTCCCTCACCTCCTCCTCCTCCTCCTCCTCCTCCTCCTCGTTTTCCTCTAGGTTGAAAAATCCGTGGGTCGTTGATACCGCGTGCGAGAACCACCTCCAGTTGATGATACAGTGGAAGAGGTTGTTGTTATCATGCTTTTGCTTCCTCCCTTGTGCAATTAGACAGTTTGTTCTCTTTGTGGGGCTGATGACTCCACCGTGCTGATCCATAAATCCAGATTCAGATGAACAATTGTTACTGCCATTTTCATTATTATTGTCATGAGCATACATCTTATTCAGGCAAACTAGGTCGGCCTTCTCACTCATTATTGCTGTTCTGTGTTTTGGTCCACAGATGTTCCTTGTTTGAGAGTGCGTCCATGTGGAAAGCAACGATATTAAGCCACATATTTGTGAGCTGGATGCTAGCTTTGTTTGTTTGTCTCTGTTGTGTTTCTTTATCACAAGCCTTTGTATTCTCCGCCAATTTTGTCCTCGTGTGATTTGAGTGCCAGATTCACTCCTGTCGGCATGCGTCTTCACTCGATAGTTCTAACATACACCGGGAGAATCTTATCTGTTGAATTGGGACCTCTCGTTCCCTTGTAGCCGATAATGGTACGAAGACACACGATTGCTACAGGTTGTTAGCCATGTAGCTTACTGTCTTCTGGCTAATGGTAGTTACCCATGTAGCTTCTTCCTGGTCGTCCTCTTGTATAAGGTATCAATAGGAACTCTAAATTGTTAAAATTGTTGCCGTGTCCCTCATTTTATTCCAATGTATGTGATGTACAATTTCTTACCATACATGATCGAGTCTTAGCCGAATGAGTTGGGAACATAAGGCTGCTTTATGCGGGAGCAATTGCAAGTGTCAAGATAAGCTACCTTCTCTCTACATCTGTGAAATTAAGCACTTCTACATGATTTTGTTTGACGGGCCACTTCACCTTGATCATTTATGCCAAACATAAATCTACTGATATTTAATATGATGTAGCTAGATATCTGGTACCAAATATTCCCTGATTGAAAAACAATATGTTGCTTATTTGTGTCACATTGGCTTGCAGGATGTTCAGTCACAACAGCGTGCCGATCGAGATGCCGCGATTGCTAGGGTGCAGCAAAGTCGTATTCTCCTTGCTGCAAGGTTGGCTGAACATAGAGGAAAGGGGCATGGAGTCATTGAGGAAGCCTTGGGTTTTGTGGGTGATGTGCGTGACAAGAGCCATTTTGTCTCGCCCGAAGATGTGTATGGGATGCACAGCCAATCAGGGGAAGATGAGGAGGATCGCAGGGGGCATGGTTCAAACATGGTGGTGCGTGTGGTATCCTGCAGTTTTGCTTTAGCCAAGAACATTTTAAGATTCGAGACGATGGGTAGTGTGCTGGGTAATGCTACTGTGTTTGCAGTAAGTATGCTCACATTCTTGCAGCTTCATCAATTGGCCTCTGGTAAACAAATGCCAGCGGTCCAGTATAGGAGAACCGACAATGTTTCTCTCTCTGGAGGGTCAAGAAAAGACACTAAAGGAAAGCATCTGGAAGTGTTATTAGCTAGAGGTTGAGCAATCATCAGATACAGGAAGCTTTGTTCTCCTTTGAGTTTTGGTCGGTTTTGTTAGGTCACTAGGCACTAGCCATTGCATTCTTTTGGATGGGCTGGTCTACAGTCTACCTTCATCGTTAGAAGCTGTACCACACAGGATGTAAATGGTTTGAGATTAGCAATAGATGCACTGGAAGAATCTGCAAGTCGGTTCCCTTTCCTTCAACTAACCACAACAATTGTATGGTACTAGGGCAACATATCTCGTTCTGGGGCTGTGACATTTGAATCTGTTTGTTTGGTTATTACTCTACTACATCTATGGTGATGAACTTGGAGAGGATCCGCAAGCCAATGTTCCCTCACCAGTCACCAGCAGCTGGGGATGCAAATCAGACTGGACATTGCGATGCTATGCTTCATTTGTTTGCCTCTTCGACTAGTGTCAATGTCATGGCCCAGAGGTTCTTTGCTTGATTGATAACTTCACCCCGTGATTTGTATATAACTGAGCCAAAGTACAAGCACGCAAAAGTACAATGAGGTGCATGTGTCATAGCCTTCAAACAGTTGAGTTGTGAATTGCTCTTTCTTGTGCCTTGTTCTTCACACCTGTTAGGCACCGCTTTTTCTTTGCGTATGTTCCCCTTCTTTCGGAGATGCGAGTTAGGTTGTTGTTGTTCTCTATTGCTGCTTGCAATGGCTTTACTTGTTACCAGATCGGGCATTCTCGTGTAAAGTTTGAAGGACAGCACTACAAATCTGACGTCAGATTTTTTTACCATGGCAAATTGAACGTCTTTTATGGCAATTTGTTTTTGCCAAGGATGTTCAAGTTTAGTTGGCAAGCATGTCAAATCCAGCTCATTTCGATTTTCCATGCTTAAAAATATGGTGTCAGATTTTTAGCATTACGGAAGTTTGAGTCAGTTTACAGTGAAATCTTTGGCGAAACACAAGAAGATCTGGATGCTCCTTTCATCCTCTGAAGTGGTACTGGCTATGGTTTTGGCATCTTTGTTTCATTTCAATTTTCAAGTGACATGACAGGTCCTCTAGCGGAATCCACAGCTGGTGGCTTTGGTTCCTCATCTTTTGTGAGATCAATCATGAGGAAGATGTACTAGATCAGTAGTGCTATCATCCAGATGAGGGGCACTAAACCTGCCTTTTGGGAAAGGGAAGACGCTAATCCGGTTGTGCTAATCCTGCTGCCGTTTGATGCTGGAGTCGGCAGGCATCATCTTGCAACGGTGGATCCAGCAAGCACTCCCTGTCCTACTCCCCTGCCGACCATGGCCCAGCACCTCGTGACCATCTCTCAACGGTGCCCGTCCCTTGAAAGTTGTTGATCCTTGTGGCTGTCAGACAACTCATGGAGGCTGTAAAAGAGTAGGCAGACCGGTGTTCTAATCACGCCATCTTAACGCAAATCTCATTGCTGCTTGGGGGCTGTGCACAAAAAGCAGCGCTCCTTCATTCTCTCTCTCTCTCTCTGATCTTTACCTTTTCCTTTCGTCGCCTTCTTTCTTTTATCTCTCTAGAATTTGCTCGATGAGGTAATCTGCCCTTACCCTTTTTAGGGAAGCCATGCAAATTGGCCCGGAATGAAAATGATATCGAGTGACCCCCGCATATAATTTTGTTTCTGCAGTTGTATACATGTACATACTCTTCAGGTTTACTCGTTTTTGCACTGAAGTTATACTAAAACAGCGACAACAAATATGGATCAGAGAGAGTAGTCGATCCACCAACCGCCATGGCATTCATCATGTCTAAGGGTTCGTTTTTCCTCACAGATCAGGTAAGCACTAGCGAGGACATCTTTCACATAAATAAAGCAATAAATAAACTACAGAAAAATATAGTGCGTTTGATGCGGGCATGCGAGCCATCGCGTGCCGAAGCGAACATGTGAGCTGCGAGCTGCCGCGTTAGACTTTCGGCCAACAAAACTAGATCCGTACAAACAGATTAGGGCAACTTGAAGACGCATCATCAAATGGACAACATCAAATATATACGGACATGTCAGGACATGTTCGCAGATAGCGGGTGGAGCGCAAGGCATCCAATCGAAATAATCAAACGGACACCGAATTTTCATTGATTTCGAAATAATTTTTAGGTAACAAGAGAACCCTAACAAAAAACAATAAAAACCCTACTCTACTCCTCCCGTTAGAGGTGAGGTCGACAGTCCGTGCGGGATGAACCGGCCTCTTATCATTGGCAGTCAGCACGAACGAGGGGGAGCTAACGATAAATGTCTCTTTGGCATTGTCGCGGTGGTACTCGGACGCATCGCCGTCCTCCACCTCTGGCCCATCGAAGAGCCGGTTGCGCTCTTTCTCATTGATGTGGAGCTGCCAATGCAAGCACCGCCCAATTCACGTCGACAAAGCCTCGGATCCACCAGAGCCATTGCCGCGATAGCAGCGTCAGGTGGCCCCTCCGCCTCCAGCTGCTCCTCTGCAATCGATGCTCCTCCAGGAGCGACATATTATACTGCTGCTCTGCATGTAGCAGTCTGAACACGGACATTGAATGCTAATCCACCGGCGCCTGCTACTCCTCTGTTAGCACCATTTGTATGCTCCACCTGCAACAAGATGAACCCGGTCACTGGCGGCTCCTCCACCGGCACGAGCGCCTTCCATCGCGACTTCGGTCATGACCATGGGATCATCATTCTCCTCCTCCTCCTCTGAGCTCACTCCGTAGAACATGGAGGTTGGCCCACCATAATGCGGGCCAGCCGTGAGGTAGATCTCTACGATGATTTCCATGTGGCACCCTGGCGAGAGCTGCCCCCACCACGAATGAGCGTTTTCCAGCCATTGCTACCACTGGCGGACGAGGATGCGAAGGGGCTTGGACAAGGTGAGAAGGGGTGGTTTGGCGGCAACTCGGGCGGTGGGTGAAGGGCTCCGAGGGGTAGGGTATTGGGGCATGGCCGGCCGGCTTAAATAGCTAGGCAGAGCGACAGGTTGGATGGAGAGCTCCGGAGTAGGCTTCCCGAGTTCCACGCCGGCCACGTTCGCTCTGAATGCATAGAGGGTTCTCGAGACGGGGAGAGGGGTTTTGGATGGGTCCGTGCTGTCAGAGTTGGATGTCCGGACTCACTAAATCTCCCTCCAGGATTGATGGTGGTTTGCAAGATTTTGGACATCATGGGTCCGTGTTGTCAGAGTTCAACATGCTGAATGTCTGGACTCCTAAATCTCCCCCAAGGCTGATGCTGGTTTATAAGATTTCGACCATCTAAACCGATATAAACATTTTATTTAACTATCACTGGATGGGTAAAAGTGTCCGGACGAGAAGCCATTGGATGGGTAAGTGTTCGGGCTGGAAAGTCCAAACATTTGTGGTTGATTTGATGATCGGACTTGCTCTTGTCTTTGGCCCAAGCAGTCCAGGCATTTGCGGTCGATTTGATGAATTAGAGCAGCCCTTAACAAACGGTCCAAACATTTGTGGTCAATTCGGTAATCCATATTAGAGTTGCCCTTAACCGGACCATAAATATCATGATAAGTACCCAAAGATTCATATTGAACTTCAATCAAAGCTTCTCTTGACCCAATGACACGTTGATCGAGGTTCCACCGTAGCCATAAGGGACTATTAAACTGATTAGTTTTTTTTTGTCTATAAGCTCCCGGTGCATCATAAGAACTAGAAAAATAGGGTTCTAGTTGAATAGAGTGGGCATTCAGTGTTTCCATTCAGATCAAACATCGAAACATCAGTTCTGTTTAGATACTCTAACTTAGCTAGCTAGAGGTTAGAGTTAGTTTCCAACTCATGACTAACCAACTCTAGCCAAACAGGTGTTTGGATGACAATATTAGATTGACAATAAATGCATTAAAAAAACTAGGTCCAATTAGTATCTCTTGGGTGGGATAGTTTCTTGGATAGTTTTTTGGGTGGGTTAGATGCAACTAGCTTAAAATAAGGACGCTGATAACTGCCACACGTGTGGCATATACGAAGTGCACTCACACACCGTGTGTGGTGTGAGTAGGAGGCAGCCCACACGGGCTGTGTGTGGGCGGACATTAGAATTGCTCATACGTGTGGGCGCGGCTACTTCGTGCCACACGTCCAACAAAATACTACTCATCTCCACCCCGTGCGTGTGGCACGAAACAAAAATGCCCACACGTCCTGACACAGCTACGTTTGGTACCCCGCGGGATGACGATTTAGTTGCCATCCTGGTTGGCAGATGTAGTTATTTGGGATGGCAAGTGTAGTTGTAAAAGCATGGCAACTCTATCTGTTTTGGTTAACTATAGTTGACATGTCTAATTTATGGTAGTTGTCGCGTGTAATCAAACCGTAGTTGCCGTGTGTGATTAATTACTTGCCACATATGGTCAAAACAGTAGTTACCATGTGTGTTTACCTAGTTGTCACGTGTGGTCCAACCATAGTTGCCATGTATTGTTAATCACAGTGTCCATGTATGTTTATCTGGTTGCCACGTACGCGCAACTGCAGTTGCCGTGTAGCAAAGAATCACAGTTGCCATGTGTGTGTACCGAGTTGCCACGTTCACGTAACTGCAGTTGCCGTGTAGCAAAGAATCACAGTTGCTATGTGTGTGTACCGAGTTGCCACGTTCGCGTAACTGCAGTTGCCGTGTAGTAAAGAATCACAGTTGCCATGTGTGTGTACCGAGTTGCCACGTTCGCGTAAGTGCAGTTGCCATCCACAAGGTAGAAGTGTCGTGTGGGCGAAAAACAGTTCGCCCACACGCGCATGACCTAGGTGGTGGCTGTGTGGGCGAAAAGCAGTTCGCCCACACAACGCAGCTGGCAAACAGCGTGGTGCGGGCGTGTGGGCAAAATCTCCAACGCCCACACACCAGCCCCGTCCTACGTGGCACACCAAATCCACCTTTTCATGTCAAGATTCGTGCAAAAGACAGTGAACGGCGATCCGGACGTGTGGGCGAGTTGGGTAACGCCCACATGTGTGGGCGTTAGTGTTTTCGTAAAATAAGCCTAATGTTTGGATACTTTAGGGCTATTTGAGCCCAAACTAGCTGAAACTAACTCTAACCCATAGATCCAAACAGGGCCATCATAGCAAAAAACCAACAAAGTGATGTCAGGCAATTTTACGTATGTTTTAGATTTTTACATCTAACAATAAGTCATTTTAAGCTTCATCAGCAACAAATGCAAGAGTAGCATTCACAACATCCAGTAAATAAGGGGGAAAAGACGAGGACACCAATCAGGTCAAGCAACGGAACAACTTTAGTTTCAGTTCCCATCTCTATTAATTTGTTGGATGGGTGCACCCATAGACCCATAGAGGCCTTCTGCCATCACTTCACAATATGACACTTGAATTCAGTCAGGTAGGTGGACAGTACAATCCCATATAGCAGCAGCAGAACAGGAACAAAGATACATTAGGTGTAACAAGCGAAGATGGCTCCAACATCATCCTCCACCTAGGCTCACAAGGTCAGCCCATTGCATACTTCTGGGTCCAGCTCCTCGCTGTGGACTCATACTTCGCACGATCACTCTTGTACATGTGTGCAATCTCCGGAACCAACGGGTCGTCGGGGTTCGGGTCTGTTAGTAGAGAGCAGATTGAAAGGAGCACCTGGAAATAGGGGCTTGTCAGGTAAACGTGCAACTGGAGAACAAATGCTGCAAGGTGGGCGTTTAACTTTGACATGCTTTGTCTAAGCTATAAGAATTAAAACTGCTGGAGCTCCAGCTCAATGACAGGTATCGCTCTTGGTTGGCATGACCAGGTTTGTTACAAAACCATGAAAAGAAGAATCACGTCACCTTTGAAACTGTCAATGCAGGGCTCCATTGTTCCTTCAAGATATCAAGGCAGATGCTCCCATTGCTGTTGATATTTGGGTGGAAAACCTTTGTTTTAAATGCAACCTGCAAAATTATTTCCATAAGAATTTAGCTAGATGGCTTTGGAGCTCAAGATAAGTATTCCAGATTTACATGAATTGTTAAAAGAAATTTGGCAAGCTTAATACTCCAGTTAGACCATTGCTACTGCACAAATACTTTATCCTGACAAAGAACATTAACATGGAACAGAAAAACAACATAAGTGACAAGCAGGAGAGGTATTCATGGTTATGTAACATGCATCTGAATTCCCATTCTAGAGCAGTTATGTCCTAGCTGGCAGCTTCTCTAATGATCTCAATAAATAAATTAGATCATCACCATTATGGAATAATCATCCACAGTACAAGCCAAGGCCTTGAATTGTGACAAGACTAATTAAGCATGCATTGACAAAAATTTGGCAAGCTTAATACTCCAGTTAGTACTATGTTTTGGTATACAGGTCCAGTAAGATGCAAACAGAAAAGGGAGGTGCTAAAAGATGAACCATTCATCTGTCTCTGGCCTAAGCAACTTTACATTTTACCAGGCTGACAGACTAATTAAGCATGCATTGGCAAATATGAGGGGAATTTCTGCACGACGCTGGCAAGGAAGTTTCTTATATCAGGGCTTTGGGAAAGCTCAGAGAGGTACAGAATTGAGAAGGCACTCTTGTATCCTCCTAGGAATGATTTCAGAACATTGCATGCACTGGAAGTGATATTGACTACATACCTTCGGTGGTTTGAATGGGTAGTCTGGGGGGAAGTGAATAGTAACCAAAAATACACCACCAGCATATGGGCTTTCCGATGGGCCCATGATCGTTGCTTGCCAGTGGAACATATCTTCTGCCACAGGGCCTGTTCAGTGAAACCATATGTTTTAGTCACTCATTGGAGCCTCAATTTGAATTGCCATAATGTGATACTTCAAAAAAAAGCATGGTAACAACACATTATTACTAGCAATAGCAGACTACCACAGAAGTACTTCCCAGGTTAGAATGTTTTAAGAATATTCAGGGGTACCCCACGCATTCACGCAAGAACTATTTACTACAGATAGCCCCAATGTTTATGTTTTCATTCCATCAAGATGTAATGATGTAATGATTGACTACTTGTGCAAGATGGTAACTACTATGTTAAACCAGAAGTCCAGATGCTGTAAGAATGAGTAACTGTCGATCATATCAGGAAGTCCTCATCATTTTTAGTGTCTATGCAGCTAGAAGAAATTTTGCCAACAAATCGGTAGCCAAGTATGATACTTCGATAACAGTACGGTAACAACACATTATCTTAGCAAACTACCACGGAAGTACTTCCAAGGTTAAGACGTTCAGGAATGCTTGACTACAACCATGCGTATTCATGGGTGCCCCACAGGCTAACATGTTATGGAATGCTGGACTAAAACTTTTCATATTAATGGGTACCCCACGCATCCACGTCCAAGCATATGTAAAAATGTAATTACTGATTACGTGTTCAAAAGGGGGAAGTACTATGTTAAACCGGGAGCACAGATACGAAAGAAATGAAGGCGAGCATGACTATTTGCAGTAGGTGTTTGGTCCATTGCCACAGTTTTTCTTGCAGGAACAGTACAACTACCATTTTATGTGTGCCAGTAGGCTAACTGTATCGGCTCAGGATGACCAGCGACCAGTTGGTCCACAACGGTTTGCCCTCCCTTTGAGATCCTTACTGGTTACCGCAATTTCTCCCGGCTATACACAGAAATTTCCAAAAGCGCTCGATTCCCCGGGACTACAGTTCTAGCAAATAAGTAGATCCTCTCAATTAATCGACATACATATATCTAGCAACGAGGCCACGGAAACGACAAATCATCACACATGCATCTGTCACCGAGGGATCTTCCATGAAAGTGGCAGTAAATAGGTAGAGCTAGCTGGCAATAAATAAGTAGATCTGGCGGCGAAAATTACCGGCGCTGCAGGAGGTGGGGGGATCCCTCTGCAGGTCCTTGAGCTCCTTGAGGATCCGCTTGGACGCCATGGGGACGGAGACGGGGCCGGGGCCGGCCGGCTAATCAGGCAGCGGAGCTGGCTCCGATTCCAATCGAAATCGAGAGGAGGGAGGAAGTGGGGCGGAGTGGGGAATAGATCGACGGGGAGCGCGTATAAGTAGTCGGGGAGGGGTGGCGTGCGTAGAGGGGAGGAGATTGGGTTGGGTTGGGGCGGAGGATGGTCACGGCACGCAGGGCGGTCTCCGGAAGCTTCCGGCCTGGGTGGAGCACGCGGTATTGCGTACTGGCGGCCAGGCCGCACTGCTGGCTACGGTGGCCGGGTGCGCGGTCGGTCGCGTTAGACGGACGCGGGGAGGGTGCGGGGAAACGGGTCGGCGACGCGTTTGGTTCTCCTTCTTTTCTCTTGCTTTTCCCCTGGGACCGGCCTCTTTTTTTCTTGCTCTAGCAATGGGTAGGCTATGGGTGGAAACAACTCTCTTCTGCCCAACGTTGCCACAGGCCAACAAATGAACTTGTAAATAATGCTTATTTTTCTCCTCACAAATGAGCACATTGCATGCGATGTTCAACCAAAACACAAATACAAGCATCTTCTTCTCTATATTCTTAGAAACACCACACAACCCTCTAGCCGCTCTTTCTCGTTGAACATGTCGTCCATCACCTTCTCTCGTCATTCACCTCTAAATCTATTGCCCATTGAATCTGCATGTAGCTTCCATGTCATTGTTGAATGCCCTGTCACGTCACTTTCTTTCCGATCTATTCCTAATCCGAGGAACCTAAATCTAGTTGATTGCTCGTGTGTTGCCATGGAATCATAAGCTTATCTATTGAAACATATATCAAAATATCATTATATGTAGTGTGCACATCACATGCTTATGACTATGTTGTGACAAATAGCTCTTGTCTATCTCTCGCTTTCCTCTAAACTAGTGGTTGGGGCGCCACCTGGTGACGCCTCTTGAGACGGGATTGTGCGCGTTAATCAAGTTACCATATTTGTTAATGTAACTATGACAATAGGCTTAGTTTAGGCAAAAAGACAGACAACCTAAATGATACATCAATAATTAAAGTACATGTAAACTTTCAATTGGCAAACATAGTAAATCTAATTTTAGCGTGGGAAACCTAGAAAGACAGTATGAGCACATTGACATATATCAGAAATAAACTCACAACGGATATCTGTCTCGCATCTTAATACCAGTGTTACAAAATCATATGTTCATATGAGGAGAAGCAAACTTAAGGATTTGTCACTACTTGATTGTGGATACTATATTCATCTACAAACAGGTAACATGCAACAGCTGACCATTGGACTGAGAAAGAGTAGTTTCAGTGTGATTAACCATGCTCGATCATGTTCATTGCTGGACATAAATGATACAACATGTACATGTGATCTTCAGGTTGCTTCGATGTGCAAGACAAAAGGAACTGGCCATCTTCTAAAGAGATGTTTAGTTAGTGTGGCACCATTCAGTCCTGGATCAAGATGGAGCAGCAAGCAAGTACAACAAGATAAATTGTCAATGTTCTGATGTGCGAGCAATGGGATCAAGCTGAGGAGACAAGCTGTCTAATTGGCCGACACCGACCGTGAGCTCACCCAGCCAAGCCCATGTGCAGAGGGCCAGCAGTCAGTCTAAGCCATAAGGCCAAAGAGCTATATAGAGCCCTTACCTCGAGTGGAGCAATGAAGAAGCAAGTAAAAATAAGGAAGAGGGGATAGGGGAAATGTAATACGGTTTTGTTATAGCAAGATCATCAGATCATGGGTGAATCGATCGATCATCAATAAGTTCTTATCGGACGACGGAAAGCGTTGTAAATGATATGAAAATAACTAAAAAAGTTAACTAAATCAAAGCATCCGAAGGACAACCGATTTGGAAAACAAATCTCATGGCAAATGATATGAAAATAACTAAACAAAGGCAATTCAACAGATGTACTGAAACAAATGGGATGGACGTATCCAGGTACTTTACAGTATCAATTGTGAAAAATCCAAATCCACGAGGCCTCCTGATATGCATATCCCTCATAATAACAAAATCAGTTATAGCTCTAATTTTTTAAAATGCTGGTGAATGGCACACAAACAAATGAGTCTGTGAAGCATCAGTAACAAGTCCCTATTTTTGAAGATGCTTGGTGAATTTATTTGCACACAAAGATCCATTTTTAGATAAAGCTATGTACATAAAGAAATGGGGCATGAGAAGGCTAGCCTAGAGAAGTGCATTCCACATGCAAGTATTCATAGAACATGTACCTGGACAACTATGTAGATAAAGGTATATTCTTGTGTAATGATGAAGTTGAATCCTAACCCAATTGACAATTAACCGGAGACACCTTGATGTCAAGGTGGTAGCGACAGCAGCACCTATAGGAAGAACACATAAGGATCATACATCAATTGAAAAAATTATTTAGCGAACAGTAAAGAACAGGGTGATAGCAACAACAACACCTACAGGAAGAACACATATACGGGAAAAATGAAGCAAGGGATAATACGTTTCCACTCTCACACATGGTTTGAGCAAAATTTGTGAGCAAGGATGGGGGTTCGAAACAAATAGATTGGCCAGATTCGACCTCACCATCTCTTCTTGCTTGGCGTTGGCAGCGCGTGAGACGAAGTGGATGTCCATGTAGATGAGGAGTGAAGAAATGCTTTTCCCCAGCAAATTGTCATGTTAAGATGCAGTGAAATAACTTTAGGAGGATCATACTCCTACTCTCAGCATGTTAAGATATGCCGAAATATCTAACAACAATGGTACAAACAAAAAAGTTTAAAGGGTAGACTTGTTGTTGTCTTCCAATTTCCAAAATCAGAGAACTACAACAACACAATCGGTATAATTGACAAATACTCAAACAATTAGTAGCTCCAATCTAGAAGATGAAGAAGAAAGGCAAAGGTACAACAACTACCTGAGGTAACCAGTCTTGTGTAAACCAAAATTCAGCATCGAACAAGGCATGTGAAACTATCAAACGATTGTTTAATGCAACTCACTAACTGTATAATACAGTGCAAGCCCACCCTTATGTCCAAAACCTGCACTTGATAGTTTGGTGATTATTAAACTGAAACTTGAACAAGTGATGCTAATTGATTGATGAGAGCAACATAGATAACATTTAGTGACGAGAGCGACATGCAGAGCTAGGATCGGTGAAGTTAATTACCTTTCCGCGGTCTTCGTATATGTAGTCTAGCCCCTTGTAGAAGGGTGGGTGCCCCACTGACAGGTACTAAAATTAACAACCACACACGGTCATTAGCTCATCGCTAGTCGCTAGTACAACCTGAAGGAAATATGCCCTAGAGGCAATAATAAAGTTGTTATTTATATTTCCTTATATCATGATAAATGTTTATTATTCATGCTAGAATTGTATTAACCGGAAACTTAGTACATGTGTGAATACATAGACAAACAGAGTGTCACTAGTATGCCTCTACTTGACTAGCTCGTTAAGCAAAGATGGTTAAATTTCCTAGCCATGGAAAAAGAGTTGTCATTTGATAAGCGGGATCACGCATTAGAGAATGATGTGATTGACTTGACCCATTCGTTAGCTTAGCACGATGATCGTTACAGTTACATTGCTACTGTTTTCTTCATGACTTATACATGTTCCTCAGACTATGAGATTATGCAACTCCCGAATACCGGAGGAACACCTTGTGTGCTATCAAACGTCACAACGTAACTGGGTGATTATAAAGATGCTCTATAGGTGTCTCCGATGGTGTTTGTTGAGTTGGCATAGATCAAGATTAGGATTTGTCACTCCGAGTATCGGAGAGGTATCTCTGGGCCCTCTCGGTAATGCACATCACTATAAGCCTTGCAAGTAATGTGACTAATGAGTTAGTTACGGGATGATGCATTACGGAACGAGTAAAGAGACTTGCCGGTAACGAGATTGAACTAGGTGTGAGGATACCGATGATCAAATATCGGGCAAGTAACATATGGATGACAAAGGGAATAACGTATGTTGTTATTGAGGTTTGACCGATAAAGATCTTCGTAGAATATGTAGGAACCAATATGAACATCCAGGTTCCGTAATTGGTTATTAACCGGAGACGTGTCTCGGTCATTGTCATGTTGGCTGAGCTTGGGCATGCGGTAGTACTGCTCCTAGGAGCGGTAGTACCGCAGGCCCTTGCGCTAGTATCGGGCCCAGGCGCGGTAGTACCGCAAGCGCCCACGGTAGTACCGCTCCTTTGGAGCTGTAGTACCGTGGCCCCAGGCCAGGCGCTGCTATGGCTCCAGTAGTAGGAGCAGATGTAATTTTTTACATCCGTGCCCTATGCGGTAGTACCGCGCCCGGTGCGTGGTAGTACCGTGTGTTTTGGTCTGGCTCAGCAGCTTGCGCGACAGTAGAAGCGGATGTAATTTTTTACATCCGCACCCCGCGCGGTAGTACCGCCCCTGGCTCACGGTACTACCGTGTCGGATTTTTGCATTGACTCCAACTCAGCGGAAGTTGCCACGGATGTATTTTTATATGTCCATGCCTTCTCAAAATTTGGAACATCCCTGCCTTGCGGTAGTACCGCAAGGGGGAGTGGTAGTACCGCGCCAGCGGTTCTACCGTCCTCTGCGTTAGTGCATTTGGGCTGTCCTGGCTTGTGTTGCTCGGACGGTAGTACCGCGGGGCCCTGCGGTAGTACCGCGATCCTGGCGCGGTAGTACCGTGCTACGCAGGCTGGGTTGGTGGATAACGGTTGGATTTGTTCTTCCACTATATAAGGGGTGTCTTCTTCTCCGAGTTGACTATCTCTTCTATCCCCAAGCTCCATTATTGCTCCAAGCTCCATTTTAGCCCAATCTTTCTCCCTAGCCAATCAAACTTGTTGATTCTCTAGGGATTGGTTGAGAAGGCCTAGATCTACACTTCCACCAAGAGAAATTTTATTCCCCCACTTATCCCTTGCGGATCTTATTACTCTTGGGTGTTTGAGCACCCTAGACGGTTGAGG